TTTTTTCCTTTTTGGTAGCCTAAGGTGTCCAAAATTCTTATCTCCTGCGAGACGCGTTTCGCATGAATTACAATGCATCTTCAGTCGCTGTCACAGGTCTCAACATTGCCCACAGAAGTGGTTGTCACATACAAAACATTTAACACAGTTCACGAAACACATATTTATATACAGTTTTACGACCATGGTCACACACGTACTGTACATCAAGCGAGCGGGAGAAGACACGCGATACCGCACAATGTTGTAGGCCTACTGGTCATTCCTCCCTTATCTTGTCTTAATCAGCTGTTGTGTTATCCGTGGTAACCTCTTCCCCCTCTAGTCTACTGTACAGACGATAGGTAACTTTATCAGAAAAGTCTTCTTTGACATTTAATAAGCAGTGTTTACCCATTGAAGTGACCTTTTTGAAAATAAAATACTCCTCCCATATTTTTGACCTTTGAGCGTTATCACAGGCTTTTAGCACATTTAGCGATTTATCAAAACTTATATTGTGGGAAGGATGTTCTTTCAGGTGTTGGGCAACTTTGGACGTGGGATTTTTTTGGTTTCGGGCGTTATGCTCCTTAAAACGTTGTTTGAAAGATCTATTAGTTTGTCCAATATATTCTTTATCACAATCATCTCCATCATTGCATTTAATAAGGTAAACCTCCTTGTCAATACTATGTTTTTCTTTTTGTTTCATACCAATATTCCTGCTTATTTTATATCCCGGCATGTATGAAAACTTCTTAAAAATATTACCTACGTGAAGCGAGTTTTTGTTTACATATTTGAAAGGGATGAACTTGTGTGGTTGACCAGTCCTCTCATCTGTTTGTGGCCTTGATAATTAATTTAAACTTGGCTTTCCTTATCATGTTATCAATTAAATCTGTATTGTAGCCGTTGTTGTAGGCAATTTGTTTCATAATTGATTTTTCTTTTTGAAACTCTGCGGGCGACAAATTATAAGTTAAAAGCCTGTATGCCATAGATCTGAGGGCAGCCATTTTGTAGGACATGGGATGATTCGAGTCCATTGGAATAACTAAATCTGTTTGGGTTTCCTTCCTGTAAATACCAAACTCTAACTTTTTAAATCTGATTTTAAAATGTTTACGTCTAGAAAGTGAATGGAGTTGTTCTGTTCTACTTCCATTTTGAATTTAATAGAAGGATGAATGTTGTTAAAATAGTTGAGCATTACACTAGCTTGCCTGTGTGTACCTTTTATGATAATAAAACAATCATCTACATATCTTCGGTAAAATGTAATTTTCTTATTGTGGGGGTTTGCTTCATTGATAATATAGTTTGATTCAAACTGTTGTAAGTAAACTTCTGCAAGTAAGGCGGATAGTGGACCTCCCATAGGTAGGCCGTTTGGGTCTTGATAAATGGTTTTATTCCATTCAAAATAGTTTTGCTCCACGATCTCCTTTACCATGCCGACAATATCATCAATTTCATCAGTAGAGAATTTATTACATTCTATTAGTAGTTTTAAGGCGTTGATTGCTTCAGATCTGGGAATATTACCGTACATATTATCTATGTCCACAGTTATTAGGGTGTGATTATTATCTATGTTTACATGTTTTATTTTGTCAATAAAATCCCTAGAGTTTATACATGTAAGGTCAGATTTAATGTCTATTCTAGATTTTATTAACCTGCAGAGATACTTTCCCAACTTGTATGACGGAGCATTTATAGAGTTAATAACAGGTCTGATAGGATTTCCAGGCTTATGTGTTTTTACCAGAGGTTTGAATGTAGGAGCTTTAGAGTGTGGATTGTACAGGGTTTTGCACGTTATGGGACCTATCACACAACTGTTGTTCAACAAAGACTCTCACAGGAGATAAGAATTTTGGACACCTTAGGCTACCAAAAAGGTAAAAATACTGATAATAAATAGGTGTCTAGGCTAATATCTACAAATTTTATTTGGTTAATGGCCTTAACCATTTACATTAAATTTGATTGTATCACTTTAATAATATAACATAGATTCTCCCTCACAATCAAAGTTATCTGCAAACATTGCAGGCAGCTATTTTAAACAGAATACAAAAAATCAATTCCTATTACATTAATATCGGGGCTTTTGAATAAAAACAATAAAAGTTGCATAAAAGAAGTTAGTTTATTAATTTAACAAAGTGATTATTTATGAGTAGAATTGGAATAATTTGTAATTATTCAATAATAAACAACAGATGTTTTTTCGGAACATTAATATCAACTCACAGGCTTTAAATAATTTTTCAATTTGCACTCAAACCTGAGAGGTTCAAAAGTTCCTTCAGTCGACTAAAAGGTAAACTCTTCGTCAAGAAGTCTGCCAACTGAAGTCTTCCAGGTACATGTTCTATTTTGTAGCATCCTTTGTTGAAGTGCTCTCTAACAAAGTGGAACCAAACACTGATGTGCTTAGTTCTTCCATGCGTTGAAGGATTGTGTGCTAATTGTACTGCACCAGCATTGTCAATGTACATAGTGGGTTCAATCGAAGAACCACTGATTTCTTCTAACAAGCCTTCAAGCCATATTACTTGCTTAGCAGCATCAATGTATTCCGATTCAGTAGTGGATAGTGAAATACAATTTTGTTTCTTCGAAAACCAACTAATGGCTCCGCCAGCAAACAAACATAACATCCTGAACGTGACTTTCTGCTGTATACATCACCTGCAAAGTCTGCATCGGTGTAACATTGCAGGATCTTCCGTTCATCGCTCCGCTTTGTGTATAGTAGAACGTAGTCCTTAGAGCCTTGCAGGTAACAAAGGATTCTGTTAACTTGGTTCCAGTCTTTGATAGTTGGACTAGACACATGCTGTGCCACCATACTAACTGCAAAATAGCAGATGTCTGGGCGAGTGTTTGTTAAATATAGCAAACTGCCCACAGCTTCACGATATGACACTTCTGTGGGTAGATTCTTTGCATTTGTGTTGCCATCGGATTTGTCAAATGGTGTTAACACTGCATTACCAGGACGTGATTGAGCCATGCAAACGAGCTCATCTTGAAAATGAACAAGCATTTGACATAAAACCACATTAGGACAGGGCCAGCTAGTGTTTTATACTTTAATATCTACACAAATACATTCACTTGTTTTTCAAAAGTACCACATATGAGTCCATCATATACAACACACACACATATATAATGAACATATTTTTGTCATTTTCATCACGAAAGTACAAACAAGGATCTGCTGTACTTGGTTTAAAATGTTGAGATTTCATAAACTCAGAAGGTCTTTTATTCCAACACTTAGGACTTTGCTTAAGACCGTATGAACTACGTTGTAGTTTCCACACTCTTCCTGAGTTGTTGTTATAACCTTCAGGTTGCTCGACATAAGCCTCTTCATCTAGCTTTGAATGTAAATATGTTGTTTTATATCAAATTGTTTTAAAAACATGCTTTCCTGTGCTGCTATATTTAATACTAGAGTATCAAATCTTGCTACAGGACTGTAGGTGCTAAAATAATCCACCCCTTCTTTCTGAGCGTAGCCCTTTGCAACAAGCCTAGCTCTGTACCGATCTAGATTTTCTTTTTTGTAAGAACCCATCTTACACCAATCACTTTCTTATTCTTGGGTAACGGTACCAGGTTGCAGGGCTACAGATATACAAGGGCTGGATTACTCCTTTGATGTTAGCGGCCCCCACCTGTTCCTACTTCCCCTCCCCAGCCCCTCCTCAGTGACGTAGTGCAGATACATAAACAAATCAGCTATTTCTGCTCAATAGCATCAATTCTCATCAATATGAGGATATCCCCTTTGATGATGAAACTGATGCATCCGAGCATTCAATTGCAGCAAGCCTTTCCCAGAACGGTCGACCTGTTGCATTTTTCTCAAAAACCTTATCAAGTGAACAAAGACAATCTGCTGTTGAAAAAGAAGATTATGCTATTGTCAAAGCTCTGAAAAAGTGGCAATATTTCCTTATTGGTCGACACTTAAAACTCATTACGGACCAAAAATCTGTGTCCTTCATGTTTGATAACACCCACTCAAGCAAAATCAAGAATGAAAAAAATACTTAGGTGGCGTTTGGAGCTTGCATGCTATAGTTATGATAGTATTTACAGGCCGGGAAAACAAAATAATGTTGCTGATACCTTATACCGAGTCTATGGATCAACCAATTCAAACAAGCTGCATCAACTGCATGCTCAACTTTGTCATCCAGTAATCACAAGGCGCACTGGGTGAGAAGTCGAAATTTACCATACTCCTTAGTAGAAATAAAGAGAATGACTGCTTTGTGTTCCACCTGTGCGGAAATAAAACCTCGTTTTTACAGACCTCAGGAAACAACACTTATAAAAGCAACTGCTCCATTCGAAAGGTTGAATATAGATTTCAAAGGACCATTGCTGACAAATTCTAAAAATAGGTACTTGCTGATATGGTAGTAGAAGAATTTTCACGCATCCAATTTGCATTTCCGTGCCAGGATATGACGACTAACACAGTCATAGAAAAGCTATGTAATTTGTTTTGCTTATTCGGTCTGCCTTCTTTTATTCACACTGATTGAGGCACATCATTCATGTCAAGAGAACTAAAATATTTCTTAAACTCAAAAGGTGTAGCGACAAGTTGAACCACGCCATATAACCCACAAGGAAATGGTCAAATAGAGTGGTATAATCAATGGTACAATTAGGTGATGGTCAAGCATCACTGAGGCGAACATCAAGAATCAGATATCCTCCAAAATACCTGAAAGACTATTCTCTATCTAGGAGGGGAGAATGTAGTGAATAAAATACAACTAAACTTACCTCACATGATTTAATTGTTTATATGTTTCTTGTCATTGTTATTAGTATATACTCAGCTTTGTGTATATTCCATTATAATGCAATTCCTTGTTCAAAGTTCAGTTTTAAGATGAGTACAACGAGTATGTTTTATCTATGGTACAACCCTTTATTCTGTTTGTAATTAATCTGGGGTTTCACTTTCATTACAGAAAGACTTAAAAGAGAGCTTAAAGAACTACAGGTTCCAGTCAAACCCCCCCCAAGCTCTGGTGTTGATCCTCCAAACCCGTCCTCGGGGACCAAAAAACAACCTGAGGTGAGTGTCACATAATTACTGTTACATAGCCTACGTATATTTTGTCACAATCCAAAATTAGAAGCAACATCCAAGGTGTTATAGAGTTTATAATTTGGCCAATACAAGAACAAACTATTCTATACCCTCTCATAATTTATTTAGTGATCAGTTTATGATATCTGAAGCCAAGGGGATTTTCAATATCATAACAGGTAAACTACCCGTATGATTACAGATATTTATTCACACTTTCTAAGGTAGGGAAAAGTCCCGTGGTTTTTAGTTACAGAAATTGGTAGACACTCTTTATGAATCACTACTGTATAATGATACTTGCCTTTGGCTCGCTGGGGGCTGTGGTTGGTGGCTTATTAGCAGAAGTATTGAACGGTATAAATCTCAGGGGAGAGTTTGGTTGTATACGTTAATTTTCAAAATAAGTCCCATGCACTATAAAAGTATATAAATAATCTTGGTAGGAAAGATGGAAGAATTTTTCTTTATGCCAATGACTCCGTTTATTTTTTTGAGAGCTGAAACCTATTAAATATCCCTCTAGTCTCTATGCTGAGTAGGTGTGGTCCTTCAATTGTTGAATCCTTTGTTTAAGACCACTCAAACTTTAGCCCAAAGACGAGGGGGAGTTTTGGAAATTGGGATCGATACATAAGCCAGAGTACAGATGAGAAACTATTTCAGGTGTCTGTCTGTCTGTCTGCTTATATACTCTTTCAAGATGACCTGATAAGGGTCAATCAAACTATCCAAGATGAACTTTCCCATTTTCGACCCAAAAAACATAAAGTTTAGAAATTTCTTTCCAAACCATTCTGTAGAGCTTAAAAAACAAATTATTAAGTATATTGAAGCGTTGTTATGCACCTAACGGTTACGGAGAAAATTCCAAAAAATCTTAAATTTAAAATTCCCATGTTATTCTTATGGAGAATACGTAAAATGTTGTAGTTTGCTTGTTTATGAAGATATTTTGATCAAATTTGGAAAATGCATTTATTTCTTACTAAACTATTACATTTTACAAAAAAAAACAAAAAAACACTTTTACCTTCCATGCTGCAGCAAACCTAAGTACTCGTTAAACTAATTATATTTAAATAGTGAATAAATGTGATATTTTTAAGGAAACATTTTATTGTAAATCCAATCAGGCAAATGGAAATTCGCTTAGTCTGCAGGTTAGCTGCGGCGGGGGTATTATGTCAAATATAGCTCTAAAATGATCTAAACAGTTGTAGGTAGAACAAATCTTATCATCCTAATCACATAAATGCAACCAAAAGTACCTTTATGCTTGATACGTATTATCTGTGGAATTGACTATTTATTGATGTTTTTCGTAATTTTTCCCCCTTTTTTTAAAATAAAACGTTTTTATTAGCTCGCTTTCTTGTCCGGCACAAATTTTTCAATCAATTTTATACTAACTCCCCGATGAGCTAGAGACTTGAAACTTGAAACATAGCTCATAAATGGAAGACAATGCAATATTATATAATTTAATTTCAGATTTCCCTTGGGCTACGCCCCATGGGCATCCAAATTTTCCATGTTTACATTTTTAAAGAATGTAACTATATAAATTAATTTAAGTCAGCTGTAAATACTTTTGACTGTTCGAAGAGCAGATGTTAAGAGGTACAGATTATGCTACCAAGATATTCTTTATACAAACAAACATTAAAAAATAAAGATAAACAATCTGATTGTAGATATAAAGGTGATTGTTAGTTAATTGTTATTTATTTAGTATTCTATAAAGTAAACAATAAATTAAATAGATTGATATATTTATAGTTAGTATGTAGGCCATATATTCAATCGAATACATAATTATATGAAAAGGAACTCAAATGAACCTTAGATTGCCCGCATGCCTCTGTCTTAATCTGATATAGATGCTTTAAATAGATTTAACATCCACACACATTAAAACTAAAAAGTAGAAAATAATTTATAAATAGAAAACGTTTTTAAAACAAAACGTTTTTAACCGCACTAAAAAGTAGAAAATAATTTATAAATATGTGGAGAGTATAAATACTTGTAAGATTTAAAACGAAAAACGTGGAGTGCATGCAATTGATAATAGTACATTAGTTCAATAGGTGAAGGTAATTGTAAATTATCTATTGCATGCACCCCACGGTTTTCGTTTCAAATCTTACAAGTATTTATACTCTCCACGTTAAATTTATAAATTATTTTCTACTTTTTAGTGTGTTTGAAAACGTTTTGTTTTAAAAAAAGTTTTTTATTTATAAATTATTTTACACTAGCTGGCCCGACAGACGTCCTGTCCTAATGTGGTTTTATGTCAATGCTTGTTCATTTTCAAGATGAGCTTGTTCGCATGGCTCAATCTCGTCCTGGTTGAAGTTTGTTCGCTACGCTCACTCACCTTTAGGTTGGAGCTCGTTCGCTGCACTCACTTGCCTTCAGGTTGGCTCGTTTGCTACGCTAACTCGCCTCCAGGCTGTAGTTCGTTCGCTACGCTCACTCACTTTTTGGTTGCAAATTAGCTGTTGTCATAAATTAAAAAAAAAAATTATAGTGCTGCACCCTGTTGGTAAACCTATTAACTTTTTAATGCTATTGAACATCACAGAATCAAATTGTTTAGTTGAACCAGCTGTTAAGATTCTTTAATTCCATTTAAATATGAGTACTCATAAGTTAACATGGGAAACTCCAGAGCCACTGGGGCGGAGCTAGGGGTCTCAATCCCGGGCCTTCAATCCAATCCCGGGATTTCGGGATTCGTCTCAGCCGATCCCGGGATCCCGGGATCAATCCCGGGATTATATAATATTATGATTTTAACTTTTTAGCCATTTTAAATGAGCGAAAAGTCCCCTCGTTTAGTTCTTTAATGTTTTTAACTGGCCTTACCAGTGTTACACTGAGCAATGTTTCCGTTTTCTAAGTAAATAAATATTACCACGCGGAACTTTCATCGCCCGAATTTCTTATTTACAGTGTATAAATGTTGATATGTCACTCTAGAATATAATAAATACATTTAAAAAATCACGAGCAACCGCACTCGCACGTAGACAATACGTCACGCTAATAGATAGATTAAAGATAGCTGAGAGAAAAAGATAAAATGGGAAGAATCACAAGTAAATATCTTAATGGCTGTGACCAGGGTAGCCATTCGAGCCATTAAGGTGGTGACACACTATCGATCATTTTCCCGATCAAGACTCCGAACCAAGCAGGGAGAAGGGAGAAGGGAGATAAATATCAGCAAAATTTCACTCCGAACATGGCCAAGACCAGACAAATTCTACCGAGGGCGGCAAAAGGGAGTTTAGAGAGAGATGGAGAGCTTGTGTGAGTGAGAGCGCAGAGGCAGTAATATTAAAAAAAATAATAAAACATGATATAACATGTTATAGAATGATAATTTTAATTGCCTTTAATAATATTAATGTTCATATTAATTTTGAAAGAATTTAAGATAACATCAATTACTTAATTCAACTTAAATATTATTGATATAATTGATTTAACGATTTCTACATTTTCAACTTTGACCAAACAAACCACAACATTACATCATAAATTATCATAATATATGACGACAACATATTACCCAACATTTATTTATTTTATCAATTAAAGAGTTTAATTGCTATATTAAATTATAACTATCAACGCTAGCACAGGCGGCCGCTCGGTACCGCGCTCGCGACGGCGTACGGGGCAAAAATGTACCGTGACACACTATCGTACACCACTCCGTACATCGGACCGATCTTTTCTTTGATCTTTCGCCAAAAAACCGCCTCCAGAGCGCTCGTCTCCCTGCTCGGCCTGTTCGCCGTCTGGATCAGTGCACGGACCCCTGACACACTATCGAACATGCTCCCTTCGACCTCTCTTCTCCGTGCTCGGTTTGGGGTCTTGTTCGGGGAAAAGATCGATAGTGTGTCACCGTCTTTAGGTCTACCAACCGTCCTTTTAACCCAAGAAAATTTATTTTTGTAATTTTCCTGTCAATTTCGGCTGGTATAAAATCCCTCACAAAAAACCAAAAACCAAAAAGTATTTATTTACAGACATCAAAACTAAAAGGTGGGTTTAAACATTGTTCCACATCACGTTGTTGGAGTAGCAATGAACAACAGTGCAGTACAAGGGTCAAGTTTTCAAGTAAACAAATGTGCTGATAACTCTTGCCGAATCTGTTGAATAAATCACCTTGGGAAGCAAAAATAATCATGTAGGCAGACAGAGATCGATACATTTAGCTAGTAATCTGTACTCTGGCTTATGTATCGATCCCAATTTACAAATCTCCCCATAGTCTCTGTGCTGAAGTTTGAGTGGTCTTAAACGAAGGATTCAACAATTGAAGGACACCCACTCAGCACAGAGACAAAAAAAAAATAAAAGACTCAGCATAGGCCTCGCATGTGTATTCTGATTTATATTTTAGAGTTTTGTACATATCTTTTTGTGTGTATATTTTTTTTGTAGTAAAGTAGCAACTAATTATTTTTACTGCAGGGTGGAGTCCCTAGCTCTGAAGAACGTTCCACTCCCGTGGCTCAACCTTCCTCGTTGGAGCAACCGGTGAGTGTCACATGCCCCACTCAAAAATTGTTTTTATAATTATTTTTGTAATTTTCCTGTCAATTTCGGCTGGTATAAAATCCCTCACAAAAAACCAAAATCCCACCCAAAAAACCATGCCCCACTCAAAAATTGTTTTCCTTCTGGTCACCCATGGTAACAGTTAACACTATCACGATGGTAAAAAACAATACTCAACGTTTCGGGATCTTGAATATGACCCCGTCCTCAGGTGAAAAAAAACTTAACTAACACATTACAACTAACAACACCCAAACCTCCAACCTAAATTGGAATACACTACAGAGGGTAGTAGTCAAGTGCATATTTTTTGCCTGCTACCCTCTGTAGTGTATTCCAACTTAGGAATACAGTAGAAAACGGTTCTTAACTGTAATATTAATTAATTGTTAGTTGATATTCCGTATTACATAGCTGTTTTCATACTATGTGTGACATTATCTTTTACAGTTACAATTAGATTTGATTTCACTAGAGTAAACATACTTAGCTGTTGGAACTTCTAGGATCTAAATACTGCAAAAGAATAAACTTGTGTTATTGTGGGCAGTGCCAGATTTATCACTAGGCAGATTAGCAAAAGGGGGCCGCAGAGGATTAACTAAACAAATTTTTTCAGAAAAAAACACATTTATTTTAACCATCAGTTTGGTGCAGTCATAGGAAACAACAAAGATTTTTTGGTTATTGCGAACCGAAGGAGATGTTCATGATTTTGCCGCGGTCACGGGTGTTGATGATGATGTCCCCGTGATTGGGGCCTGAGTGAAATATGGTCACGATTACGACGTATTTTCGGGGGAGCCGTTCGGAAAATACGCGAGCCCGGTTTTGACCCGGTTGCCTGATAGCTAGTCACGCTGGGTTGCGGTTCCAGGGGTCGAAATGTCTAACGAATCGACAATAAAGGGTGGAATAATATTCTGAAAAGATAACGGATGGCTCAGACACTGGGTATAAGATATAAAATCTCCAACAATCGAACCCACGTTATCATCATTGCCATATGTGTTCTCTATATGGAAAGAAAGGTGCGCTGCGGGCGAACCACAGTTCGGGACGGAGTGCTGTGGGCGAACCACAGTTCGGGACGGATTGCTGTGGGCGAACCACAGATAGGACGGATCGCTGTGGGCGAACCACAGTTAGGACGGATACGTTTATCTTTAAGTCATAAGTCATAAGTTCTTTATTCCAGAATTACAAAATTACATTGCATTGGAATAGTCAAGTTTATAATGAAATGTACAAAAGATAAAATATAAAAAGAAAACTCTACTAACTAAAACAATGTGACCTTCTAGTAATCTAACAAGACAGAAATCACTGACTACATGACAGTGGAAAAATCGCGGACTCTGTAGCAAGCATTTTCAACCAAAATTTGTTTAAGTTTTCTCCTAAACCTGAGCAAATCAGTCTCCAGCTTTAGATGTTGAGGAAGTTGGTTAAAAAGTTTAATTCCATTGTAAAGGAGATGATGTTTGAAAAATGAAGTTGAATGGACGGGAATGTTTAAGTTGTATGATGTGCGTAAGTTATATGTACTGGAGCTAATGTTGGTGGTAAATAATGACTGATGTTTTTTTACAAATGAAAGGGTTTCAAGGATGTATAGTGAGGGAAGAGTCAAAATTGCAGCTGACCTGAATGATTCCTTACAAGATCGTCTTCTGAAAAGAGAAAATATAACACGAATAGCCTTTTTTTGCATTTTAAAAAGAAAGGAGGTATGATTATTTTCATATCCCCAAACAGGCAGAGCATAAACTAGATATGGAAATATTAAGCCGTAATAAACAGAAAGAAGAACTTCTGACGAGACTGTTGTGGCCAATGTTCGTAGTACAAAAATGCCTATACTTACACGTTTTATCACGTAATCAACATGAGATTTGAAGTTTAAACATTCGTCTAAGTGGATGCCTAAAAATTTAACAGACTGTACAGGATGAATGAAGGTTTGATCAAGAAGAAGTGACAGATTCGGATCTTTGTGGGATCTGTTTGAGATTCGAAAGTTAATCAGCTGGGTCTTTGCAGTGTTTGTTTTTAGAAGGTTGTCATCAAACCACTGAAGCAAGGTATTTGCCTCTATGAATGCCATTTGCTCGAGTGACTCTAGGGAGGGACTGGATAAGGCTAGGGAAGTATCATCTGCAAAAAGGCACAGTTTGCCTTGGGTTATGCATGTGGGGAGGTCATTTATGAAGAGGAGGAATAGCACAGGGCCTAGAACGGATCCCTGAGGCACACCTCTCGTTACAGGAGTTTCTGAAGACTTAAATCTACTTTGTAGCCCGGTGTGATCTATGGATTGTATTTCGACACATTGCCTCCTGCCTTTTAAAAATGACGAAAACCACAAGGATAGGTGGTTCTTCTTTCTTTCTTTAGGGATAGGGAAGAAGCTAAGCTGAAAAATATGATTATATCACACCACCACCTACAATATAGTTAAATAAAACACGCAAGTATTACTAACCAACACCTACAATTCTGTTAAATAAAAACACGCAAGTATTAGTAAGCACTAAACCTACACCACCTGCCACACAGTTATATAAGACACGCACGCACTAGTACCCGATAAAACTACAACAACCTAAAATACCGTTATTCAAGACACACAAGTATTAGTAACATCTTCACTACAACATTAAATACCGTTATTTAAGACACAAACGTATTTATAACCTCTAGAAGAATAAAGCTAACTATAGCTAAGTGTTGTGGGCGAACCACAGGGAAAGGAATTAAAGTTAACTAGAACTAATTTCCGTGGGCGAACCACAGAAGATTATCGCTAGCTACGACTAATTGCCAGGGGCGAACCACAGGGAACTAAAGCTAATTGCTGTGGGCGAACCACAGGTAGAATCGGAGGATGCTGCGGGCGAACCACAGGGAAAGGTTATTACCACTAACTATAACTAATTGCTGTGGGCGAACCAAAGGGAATTATCGCTAACTACAGCTAATTGCCGTGGACGAACCACAGGGATTTATTGCTAACTATAACTAAATGCTGTGGGCGAACCACAGGGAACTATCACTAGCTAAAGCTAAGTGCTGTGGGCGAACCACAGATAGGATCGGAGGATGCTGCGGGCGAACCACAGGAAAAGTGTATTACCACTAACTATAACTAATTGCTGTGGGCGAACCACAGAGAATTATCGCTAACTATAACTAATTTCCGCGGGCGAACCACAGAAGATTAAAGCTAACTATAGCTAAGTGTTGTGGGCGAACCACAGGGAAAGGAATTAAAGTTAACTAGAACTAATTTCCGTGGGCGAACCACAGAAGATTATCGCTAGCTACGACTAATTGCCGGGGGCGAACCACAGGGAACTAAAGCTAATTGCTATGGGCGAACCGCAGGTAGGATCGGAGGATTCTGTGGGCGAACCACAGTTAAGGATGGTTTACATAGATATTCACACAGATTACACAAATAAGCTAGTAGCTATGTGTGAGCCATTACCCGTGGATGGATTTCGTTGGACGAATGAGATAGACTACAAAAATAATCAACATGATGAGTTTGGATGTATTTTAGAAGTTGATTTAAAATATGATAAAAGCTTACATGATTTACATAATGACTATCCATTAGCACCTGAGAAAATGAATGGCAAATTAATACCTAATTTAAATGACAAAACTAAATATATTTTACATTATAAAGCATTACAAAAATATGAGCAATATGGTTTGATTGTTACAAAATACCATAGAATTTTAAAATTTAGACAGTCTAAATGGCTTGCACCCTATATTAATTTTAATATTGAAAAACGAAAAAGTGCTAAAAATGATTTCGAAAAAGACTTTTACAAATTGTTAAATAATAGTCTCTTTGGTCGAACAATTATGAATCAACGCAAGTTTCGTGATATATATCTCAAGGATGAGTCACTATTAACAAAATATGTCACTAATCCAAGGTTTGATTGTAGCAAAAAGTTTGATAACAATTTACATGCTATACATTTGAATAAATTAGTTGTAAAGTTTAATAAACCTATATATTTAGGCATGGCAATTTTGGATATAAGTAAAGTAATAATGTATAATTTTCACTATAATTATATGTCAAAATTTAAGAACAAAAGATTTCTAATGACTGATACAGATTCTTTAATGTATTCTATAGTTACAGAGGACTTTTACAAGGAAATAGAATATGACTTGCAGTATTTTGATACCTCTGGATATAGTAAAGACCATTTCTTATACTCTGATAAAAATAAAAAAGTTACTGGCAAGTTTAAAGACGAATTAGATGGTCATATTATGTATGAATATTGTGGTTTAAGACCAAAGTTATATTCTTACATTCCTCTAAAATGGTTATATGAAGAAGAAAAGCAAGCTTTAGAGGTGCTAAAGAAAGCTAAAGAAAGCTAAAGGAGCCCGCGGAAATTAGTTATAGTTAGGGATAATTCTCTGTGGTTCGCCCACAGCAATTAGTTATAGTTAGTGGTAATAACCTTTCCCTGTGGTTCGCCCGCAGCATCCTCCGATCCTATCTGTGGTTCGCCCACAGCACTTAGCTTTAGCTAGCGATAGTTCCCTGTGGTTCGCCCACAGCATTTAGCTATAGTTAGCTTTAATCTCTGTGGTTCGCCCACGGAAATTAGTTACAGTTAGCGATAATTCCCTTTCCCTGTGGTTCGCCCACAGCATTTAGTTATAGTTAGCGATAAATCCCTGTGGTTCGTCCACGGCAATTAGCTGTAGTTAGCGATAATTCCCTTTGGTTCGCCCACAGCTCTTAGCAATAACAACCTATCCTTAACTGTGGTCCGCCCACAGCACTCCCCGATCCTTAACTGTGGTTCGCCCACAGCATGTGTAAATAGGTTAACAATACGTTTGTGTTTTATATAACTATATTTCAGGTGTTGCAGTTTAAGTAGTGACTAATACGTGTGACTTGAATAACGGAATTTTAGGTTGTTGTGGTGTAG